TCAAACACAAAAGAAAAAACAGAAGCACAGTTCAATTTGGCTCATAAGTAAATTTTGATAAATTAAGGTACATTTTTAAAGAAAGCACATTAAGAAACAACATAATTTTTCACCAACCCAACTATTTCAAAACGATCTCTAATACAAATTCAATGTATACAGAATTTCAATAAATAACTGAATGAGCAAACAAACTACTCAGCATGAAAGAATATTCATCACTGGGGCCAGGAATTTAGCTCAACAGCGTAAGTACCTGCATGGCAAGCAGGAGATCATGTGTCTGATTCCCCTGGTTAAAAAAATTAAAAAATCATCATCTTCCCAAAGTACAACTTCATAATTTCCAATTCATGAATGCAGTTACCATAAAGAATTCACATTATATAGATTTTATTTTAAACAAAAGGATTTTAAAATGAGTAAGTTTGAGAAAACTAGACTCTCAAAAAAAAAAAGATGAAGAATGTCACCTACATACAGTATTAGGAAGGCAGTGACTCCAACACTCTCTCAAAGTGGTTTACCCAATAAGAAAACTTCTTTTCTAGCTCTTTAGGTAAACAATTATCTGCAGCACAACCTTCAGGAATTCTCAGAGGACAGGTAACTGTTCTTATCACTAACTCTTCCTCTGAAACTAAAACCAGGACCAGGAGATCAGTAGGAAAGAGCCAAGAAAAGGTGACACACACTGGGGGTGGGGTGGGGGTGGGGGAGTGTCATTGCGGCCAGCCTGGACTATACAATGAGACCCTGTCTCAGAAAAAAGCAAGGGAGAGGGAGAGGAAGAGGAAGAAGAGAAAGGGAGAAGGGGAAGGGAGAAGAAAGGGGAAGGGGAGGAGGGAAGCAGGTAGGCAGGCAAGAGACTGCACACATACAAAAAAATATCAAAACTAGTGATTTATATGGATACAGAAGAAACTCATTAAATATTCACAGATTAACAGTGATTCTATAAATCCAGTCAGTTTTTTATTTAATTCAAACTAATAATTATAAAGAGCAAAAAATACTCACTCCAAGACAGAGCGTCTTGAAATAAAAATCTTTCCTTGTTCCGGAGGTGCTCTCATATCTCTAAGAACAACAAATTACAATAAAATATAAGTAGCTCACCCATTACAAGAAACATAATTCCACCGGACAAGAAGTATTGCTAATTCCAACATGTGACATTAATTAGCTATCTTTCCACTGTGATAGGGGTACTGCATTAGGGTTTTATCCATGTTTACTGCATTTACTTCACCTGAGGAAGAAAAGCCAAAGAATCCCAAAGCATGTTCAATCACTTGCTCAAGACCAAAACAATGGGCAAGCTACAGAGGTGGATTTGAACCCTGTCTTCTCAAGCCCAAGGGTACAACTGAAGCAATGCAGTAGCCACCTCACAGGGACCAAGCTGGGAGCCCCACTTCTGAGTGGTAAGAGACTGAAAGAAAGCAAATGTGCCCCAAGATAAGGAAGCAGGATATGTCAGGAGCAGGGAGTGGCCCCATAAAAGTAAAATAGCTCCTTTGTGCAGCAGGACTCTCTGTGGAGTACTCAGCTGCTCTATTTGTGGAGTAGTTATCATTGTGGTCTGTGTCTGTTTCTTTCCTATCATAAACTTCTACATTAGTCTTGAACCGGGCTCAGGTATGATTTCCATCTACATCTGGCTAGTAGTAGCCCATGCTAGCAGGTGACATTTCTGAACAATGCTCTGAGGAAGATGCAAATATACCTATTCAGGATAAAAGAGATGTCAGATACATCTAACTACAGCACCATTCAAATGGTCTCCATACTCAGCCCCTATGGGAAAGACACCCCCTAAATCACGTGTTGGCAACCATTTTTCCTACTCTTGGATATTCCCTGAGGTCATGAGAAGCGTCCACTCATCCTATACTCTAGGTCACATATGGTGTGAGGGTTCGTCCTCCAAAATTGCACAGATATTTATGATATTCTTCCTAATACCAAAGGAAGTTGCACAACCCCCAACAATCATAATGGCTGCCTCCAGATACACATCTTATCATCAAGCATTACTAGGTCCTTTGGTACTCTGCAACACCAGCACTTCTGTCAGCTATTACTGCTCAAAACTGTTCTCTAGAACAGGAGAAATTAGCACACAAAATTCAGGCTACTCCAGAATGGTGAGTCAGCATATTCAGCCTTTGATAGCCTTCTTCTTTTATTCTGGACTGACCAATTAGAAAAATACATAGCAATTATACTGTATGTTTTTATAAGTACAATTGCACAGGCTAAAGATAATACTAGGGAGTCACATATTGATGTGATTAAGAGCAAGGACTTCAGAGTCAGACTCTGGGTTCAAATCGCCACACTGAAATCTTGGATAATAATAATAAAAAATCTTTGCTTCATGCTTCAGTTTATTAATTTGTAATCAGCAGACAATTCTAGTATCTCATAAGGTCATTAATTTAAGTAAGTTATTAACAGGTAAAGCAGTCAACAAGTATTGGTTCTATTATTTTATTAGCCAGTATTCTTAAAAAGGTATGCATGTATGTTATAAACTATTATGTATTATGAAGAAAAAACCTCACCCTTCAAGGGATTAATAACTTTCCAATTTAACACACTGCCAATAAAAAGTGGTGACAGGATATGAACTCAGGTATTTTTACTGCGATCTACATTTTGATTCTGGGTTATGCTAGAGTAGATGTTTATAGTAAGAGAAAATGACATACATATACTTACTTAGTTCTGTGTTCGTTTTTCATTTCTTCAAGAACAGAAAAAGTTGTAAGAGCATAACCACCGTTGTCTAATGAGGCAGATTTTTCAATGAGAGTGGTCACAATATCATCAAAGTGACTACCGACTTCCTTCAAAAAAAGTGGCTTCAATTGCTAGAATTTTACAAAGACACAAGGGAATCAGCACATACTGTGAGTCATTAACATTCTTCTACAGACCTGGCTTAAACAGAATTGGTTCAAAGGAAAGTGACAGTAAATAAGTGAATTCACTGGAATAAAAGAGGAAAAATAATTTTTATAGCTGTCTTGCTCCAGAAATGGCTAAAAGAGGAATATAGCAATACTATACCCTTTAAATAATTTGTACCTTCCCAATCATAAATTAAGACATCAAAGTAATTGCTACTGTACTGTACTGTAATTGCCATAATTTTAAGTCTTTTTTCCAAGCAAACCGTTCCCCTCAAGTGTCCATCATTTATTTTAGAACTTTCTATATTATACCTAAATTTCTACAATGTTTGTTCTTATCTCCTTAACTACAACACATATTTACCTAACTATAAAACATTTACATTTTTATGTGTACATGTAAGTATATGTAATCCACATATATGCACAGATAGTCACATTTTCTTACAATTGTATAAGGGATTTAAGCCACAGTAGAGAATACAAATGGAGAAGTAAATTCTGGGGATACCACAGAAAAGGTTTATGTTTCCTTGAAGAAAGAATAGTTTTTATAAAATTACTTCTTTACATTAATAATGTTTTAGTTTCTTTGCTCCATTTCAATTATATACCCATCTTTATTTTGATATCATGAATTAGGAAATATCCCATAAAGGAAAAAGGTTCTTTTGTCATTTAATACCTAAAAACTAATTAATAAAAAAGGGTTTTGTACCATGTAGAAATATACAAAAAGAGAAAGAAAAAGGTTCCCTCATTCTTTGCAGGGCTACGTACAGCTCTGGGTACTGTCCTAGATGCTGGACATACAATGCACAAACCCAGGCCCTGCCCTGGAGGCAGACAGAATACATAAACCATTCCAGGTGGTACCACAGAAAGAAAGAAAGAACGCAGGGATAGGGCTGGGGAGGGGGCTACTGTTTTTCATTCAGAGGCCTAAGGGAGAAAAAAATCAAAGATGACATTTGAAGAAAGTAAGAGAGCAAGTTGGTAGATATCTCTAAGTACTAGTGGAAAGAAGTATGTAAAAAGTCTCTGAGGTAGGAACACCCTTGGCCAGTTCCAAAAAAGACCAAGGATGAAGGACATGTGATTAAAGAAAGAATAGTAAGGGTGGAGATCAGGAAGGCGGGCATGCTGGTAAATGCCTGTATCCCAGCACTTGCGAGACCAACCTGGGCGACAAAGTCAACTCAAGGCCAGCCTGGACTGCATACCAGGAACTTGTCTCAAAAAACCAAGAGAAAGAGAGGGAGACAGACAGACAGACAGATGCCTGGAATCTTGAGATGTGACAAAGGTATTCAAGCTATTTTTTTTAGTTAAAATTCTTTACTCTCTGGCACCAGAGTCCATTCCCAACGAAGAACTGGCTTAAACACATAAGAAGCATCAAAAACTCTAAAGAGTGTTATACATATATCAGTAAAAGCTGATAAAACTATGTCCTAATGCACCCAACTTAAACTGAAGTCACCTTCTCATGGCAAGCTCTTATGCCTTACTACTCACAGTCAAATGTACAGCCTCTGTTTATGTATAACAATGAGGAAAGACATTACAAAAGGACAGTTCAGATGATAGTGGAACAAAGAGACAGGATGTAAATAGAGGAGATATCATAGGTATATCGCAGTTGTAGGAGGGCCAGTACAAGGTGTAAAGTTTCAAGCATGCTTGCACATTTCTTTCTTACCCTTATGACCCATGCAGAACATTGTCTGCATATGCTGAGCTTTATAAGGTTTCTATTCTAACAAGATTAATTCACATCTTTTTTTTTTCCTGTAGTAACATTTGTATACAGGTAGTTCAACAAGCCCAGTAACTATTTAAATCTGCCACATTCCTATATATAGCATTATAATAAGACACCTAAAATGTTCATTTCTTAATGCCTTTCTCTTTTTCTGAGGAGACAGTTGATAGAAGCTGTTCTCACTGGGACACCAGAAGAAAACCTCTGTTACCGTGAACACCACTAAGTTTTTTTATACTTCTCTTTCATAGACCCTCACAGTGGCAACAAAGAGTGACTGCTTGCTGACACATGCCTGTAATGAATTCCACCTTCTCAGAAGGCTGAGGTTGAAGGACTGTAAGTTCAGGCTGGTGTGAACAACTTAGTGAGACTGTGTCTCTAAGTAACATTTCTAAAAAGGACTGAGGGTGTAGCTCAGATGCAGTGTACTTATCTAGCATGTGTGAAGCTCTGGGTTCAATCCCTAGTAAAAGGAGGAGAGCAACGACTGCTTATTACTTTCATTTCTTTGTACGAGAGAATACAGAAAAATACATTCTAAGGAAGTGGTCCATTTCTGCCTTTTCCCAAGTTCTTCTATCACAGAAAGCTGTTGTCAATGAGAACTTAAAAATGTAATCATAATAAATCTAAGTAATATCTAATACAATTGGCCTGAAAAGGAGTTGAGGCTTTTTGATTTGCTCTCACTTCATAGCTATTAGTATTAATTTCATTTGGTCAATGGACCATGGTCTCCCCACCGTAATGGATGGATGGATGGATGGATGGATGGATGGATGGAGGTAAAGGAAGGCAGGCAGAGGAAGAGAAGGAAGGAGTGAATGAAACTAGAAACTAGAAAGAGAAGGTACTTAGATAATCTTGAAAATAAAATCACTATATTTTAGAGCTCAAAAAAACTTTAAAAATAAAGTTTAAAAAAATAAGCAGTTGAATTAGAGCTCCTCTAAGATTCAATGGGAATGACAACCATGAAGCAAAAATCCTATGATTAGAACACATAGTAAAGGCACATGTGATCAAAAACAAAACTGGAAAACCAAGTAGAGTCTACATCACAACGGAACTTTAACTTTGAGGGTGGAGGTGGATAGTCTCGCTGTGCAGCCCAGGGCTATCCTCCTGCCATTACAGACACGTACCACCACACCTAGCTTTTTAAGTTGTTATAAAAATTTGTAATGTTATCCTGAGGACAACCAAGGCCAATGACATTTTAAACACAAGATTTATAAATATGTTTGGATCTGTGATTTAGAAAAATTTCTTTAAAAAAGAATCTCAACAAAAAAGTTGGATTTAAAATGAGAAAGGGTCATTTATGGAAAAATAAAATAATCCTATCAATGGTACAGAAACATAAAAATATTATAAAGTAGGCTGAGAGAAAGAAACACAAAGTAAACCAATCAACACATAACATTTTCAGCTTCTTGAAAATTTAAGTTACTTCATCACAATTTCTTCAAAAAAAGTTTAAAGAGAACTACATTCTGGATCCACAAGGTCACACTACTAGACTATGAACTGTTGGTTCTCTGACTCCACTGCAGGAAACCTTCCAACCCAACAATAATATAGAACCAGAAATCTGACCTTTCTGGGCAGAACAAGTACTCCAACAGAATAAAAAACAGTTTCAGGTCTTATTCTAAACTGGATTTCTCAGAGAACTCACCCTTGACAACCCACTTAAAAGTTCTTCCTACTCTACTCTTACTGCATAATGTTCTTTTTTTTTTTTTTGCCTTTTTCCTTTTTATCGGTACCACGACTGCCTGCTTACAAGGCAGGCGCTTATTGCCGCTGAGCTAAATCCCCAGCCCCTCATAATGTTCTTTTGCTTCATTGTACTTTTTCTTTTTGTTTTGTCTTTCTTTTTGAGACAGGGTCTCACAATGCAGGCTGGCTCTGAGCTCACTTTGTAGCCCAGTCTGGTCTCTTCTTGCCTCAGCTTCCCAAATGCTGGGATTATAGACATGCACCACCACATATTGCATTTTTGAAAATCTACATAGTGCTGTCTCTGCCAATGACTTTAAAAAACACATCTTTTTGTTAGTCATTTATCCAGCCCTCATAAACTAACTCACAAGTCACTTTGTAATCTCCAAACAGCTTCTAAAACCAACCTGGCACCAAAACTCTTACTCATGCTACTGCTGGTTAATTCAGTCTTTAATACAAAGTACTCAGAAAGCAGCTGTTTTTAAAACTACCTAGTCTTGGACTGGGGAGTTAGCTCAGTGGCATAAGTGCCTGCCTTGCAAGCACGTGGTTGTGAGCTCCATACCTGGTACCAATAAAAAAAATACCTAGTCTTGATTTCTTTCTAGAAGCTATGAAAGGAAAAGAACTAAAAATCAATTGTTATTGTTAATATTACCTGTTATTTATTGAACAACTTCTGTATACTACATCTATTAGAAAGTTTAATATATTATTTCTAGTCTTAAAACAATATCTGAAGCATTACTCAAGTGACTTGGGAAGGTTCCTAGCCACATAAGCAAAACAATTCAGAACATCTAGTAAAATGGCAGATGGCTTTCCCACTAGAAATCAAGCAAATACTCAGTAAAATATAAAAGAAAGATATATCCTCAAGTGGCTGAAATGAACAGAAAATCTACAGTTAATGCAACAAATGTAAGCTGGAAGCCCAGTGCTCATGAAGACTGTCACCCTGAGGTTCCAGTGCCCCTGCTGATAATATGACACCCATGTGGGTGGCCTGAGGCTTAAAGAGGATGAAATGTTAATCTGAGAACTGCAGAAAGAGCATCAAAGAGATGCGTCATCCTTAACAGGAAATTTAAAAATGCTGCCCACAAACTGAGGAACGTATGAAAAAGCAAACTGTCCTGAGTTGTGGATACGTGGGTGTGGGAGGCTGTCAAAATCGAAACGGACTCTGTGCATGGAATGAACTGTATCCCAATTTTTTTTCCAGCACTGCAGACTGAACCCAAGGCCTCACACACATTAGGCAGCTGTTCCACTACTAAGTTATACCTCCAGCCCCAGAATCCAGATTTATATTATCTATGACCTGCTCCCCCACCCCAAGTATAAAGAGAGAAATTCATATAATAGTTGGTTTAAAATAACTGAAATCTGGCCAACGAATCTAGCTCAGTGGCATGGTACCTGCCTGGCAAATGCAAGGCCCTGAGTTTGATTCCTG